GTAGAATATGATCTTGGGTATATATTCCTTTTTGCCTAGACATACTTGATCATTCAGCCTGTTTACCCACCTATTTACCTGTAGACAAATGTGTTATCACTGATAACACAGTATTGTATACGTAAAAGGATTTGTCTTTGTTGTCTTTACCTCTTGCACACCTCTTTTCCAACTGTTCTGAAGAGCACCCTTAGCCATGAACTTCTCCAAGCTCTATCGCAAATGAAGTCAGTTTCTTTGGGAGGAGATCAGGAGCTATTTGTTCTATGATCTGTTTCCTCCCCAGGCAAAATCTCCAATCCAGGGCTCTGGAGCTGAAGACAGGGGCAATAGTAACCTTTTAAGGGACACTCCTGCTCTAGTAGCTGAGCGCTTGGGGCAGGTGGAGCAGCAACTTGAGGTCTTCTTGGTTTGTGTCTCCTGGTGTTGGACCCCAGCCACACAAGCCAGAGAACAAGAGCAGGTGTTCTCAGTTCACCACATGCAAGGTAGTCTCATCAATGAATGGGGGATAGATAAAAGGAAGTCCCTGCCTCCAGACCATCCCAGCCCAGGTCTTGGCCTCAGCAACAGATAGCTGGGGACAAGATGAGAAACACTGAAGTCCTGCTCCTCCTGGGAAGAAAGTCTGCTGACTGGAAGCTGGCAGGGGGACAGAGCCCTGTGTTCTTGATGGCAACAGTACAGACTGGAGTTTCTACCTCCCTGAGCTGAGAGAAGTAAGGGAGGAAATGATCTTGGTTCATGTGTCACAGACTTACCTTTCTTACCAATTTCCATAGATTTTCTTGAGTAAGTGTTTCTTCATTTTATGTTTTCCCTTAGGACCATTTCAAGAGGTTTTAAATGATGGTTGTTGATTTTAGTTTTCACCAGTTGCAGTAGAGAGCTGGTAAGTGGAGTTCCTCATGCTGTCATGCCATTCCATGACACCGTGTAAGGCTGATTCTGCATTCTTATGGCAGAACTGAAGAACTCAGTAGTTGCTACATGACTGTATATGGCCTGCAAAGCCACTAATATTTACTATTTGTCCCTTTAAAGAAAAAAATCTATCAACCCCTAACTTAGGTTTGCCACTGATGCTGCTGGTCCATGGACCACACTTTAAGTACCATACCTACTGCCATGGAGTCAATTCTGACTCATAGCGACCCTTTAGGACAGGGTAGAACTGTCCCATAAGGTTCCATGGCTATAAATCTTTGGCCTCATCTTTCTCCTCCAGAGCAGCTGGTGAGTTCAAACTGCTAACCTTTTGGTTAGCTGTCCAATGTCTTAACCACAGTGCCACCAGAGCTACTTATACTTTAAGTAAATCATACCCAGTGTTGTCGAGTCAGATCCGACTCACAGCAAGGATTTGAATTACTTGAAAGGGAGTACTGTATGACCTAAGAGCTCAGTTCAAAACCCCATTTTGCCATTTAGTAGAAATAGAGTTTTGGGGGAAGGGAATGACAATAACTGTATCTGTATCTCACTTGGTTGGTTGAGGATTAAATGTGAGAATGTCTGGCATTACTTATTCAGCAAAGGAGAGGTATCATCAAGATGGAATCTGTATAGAAAGTAAGTATAACACACCATGCTTTTTCTTAAATAGTCTCTTCGAGAAACTTTAAGCGTTGGAAACAGGAAACAGGTATAAACTTTACAATAAACAAGATGCTCCCTTTAATACCAGGAATGCACAACAATATTATCTCTTGTTGTTGTTGTTATGTGCGGTCGAGTCGGACCCGACTCATGGTGACCCCTCCTTGGGTTTCCGAGGCAGTATCACTACGGAAGTAGATTGCCCAACCTTCCTTCTGAGGAGTGGCTGGTGGGTTTGAACCACCAGCCTGCTGGTTAGCAGTCAAGTGCCTTAGGCACTATGCTACCAGAGCTCCCAATATTATCTAGTGAAGTCAAAAACTCCACCTAACCAGAGCTTAAGCCTGATAATGAAAAAGAATTCTCTACCAAGGATGCGCCCAACCTCTTCCACTAACAATGAATGAAAACGTTCTTCAGGAAGTGCTTCCAAACCCAAAAGCCTTATGAAGAAAGCATGAGGATTTGGGCCTAGATGGCTGCTTCTATTTCTAACCATCTCTCATCCGTACCCAGGGAATAACATAAGCAGAATCCCTCAAGCTTCCACTTTGACCCCACGGCGGGGGCGCCCGGTCCATGCCGGTCCCGCAGGCCTGGCGAGCCGAGATTTCGGTAGGGCTGCCCCCTCACCGCGGCCCGTCGAGGCTGCCAGCGGTTACCTCGCAGTTGAACTCCATCTCCGCGTCCATGGTGACGATCCGCACGGTGAACGTCTTGGGCTGCTTCCTCTTGAGCGAGCTGAAGCTCATGCGGGAAGCGATGGCCCCAGCCATGATGCGGGACTCAGGCCCGGGACCTCTGTGCCCCCGCAGCCTACGCTCTAGACCGGTTAACCCCCCTGGAGGGGCCGTACAGGCCTCAAGGCCACCATGGTGGCTGGCTGGCGGATCTGGGAGCTGGATCGGCGGCGCGGGCCCCCAGCAGGGCTCATGGGCCGCGAAAACTCTGCCCGAGAGAGGACAGGGACGTCGGGGGGTGCCCTGACGACCACAAGGAGGGGACGAGAGGCAGGACCGACGGTGCGGGCGCGGCTCGGTACCCGGGAGTCGGGTAGAAGGCGTCTGGGTACAAGGCCCCTAGACGGCAGCGACCCCAACCCCGCCCGCCTCTAAGCGGCCGACGAGGGTCGCGGAGACGCGCAGAAGCCGAGCGCGCACACGCGCGCGTCTCTGTCACCGTCCCCGCTCCGCGCGCCCCCGGCAAGCATCCCCTCCCTGCTGCCCCTGGCCTGCTCCCCGCCCCGCCCTCGGGGCCCTCAGATCAATACAACCGGCGCAACCTAACCCGCCGGCTGCCCCCTCAGAAGCCGCGGTTGGCTGACAACACTGAGAGGGGAGGGCCTTTTCCGCTCCATCCCGCCTCCTTCGGAGAAGCTCCACCAATTGAATGTTCCGCTCTATCCGGAGGCACGGGGCCTGGGTTCCGCGCGGAGTCGCTGCAGCGGCAGTCATTCCTCACGCTTTTGTTCGTAAGGTACGCCTACTCTAGCAAGACTGGTTGAGGCGTCGCAGCCAAGCGCGGGACCGATGGCGCCGTAGAAAACGTGTTTCAAACCCCTGGCGGATATTCCTTTTTAGCTCTCATTTAATTATATATACTGACTTATGTGTTTCACAGACTTTTGAGACACTGTGAAGGCCTGTACGTTTGACACTTTCCGCCAGATTGCTCTTCATCCCTTTGGGATACTAATTACGGTCAAAGACGGGATATAATCCTACCTACCTTAGAGGGTTGTTCGGAGTGTAAACGAGTAAATCAAATAAAGCTTTAGAACGGTGGGCGGCACCTACTGGGGTGGATTCTGTGCAATTGTTTTGGTAGCTCAAAAATGGTCGGAAAATGAGGGCATTTTTCATTTAGCACTTAACGATTTTAATTTTTTAATACACGTGTCATTTATGTTTTAATGTCACGTGTCATACTTATGTTTTAATGTCATCAGGGTTATGTTGGGGGAAATTGCTGAAAGTGAAATCTACTTTCAGTCCAGAAAACCTCTCCACAAAAAAAAAAAAGAAGTTTTATTATTGAATAAGCATTAAACCAGAACGTGATGGATCACAGGCAATCGCTTAAAGAGATTGCAAAGACAGAAATCTTACCCTTTACCTAGCTGAGCGATACAACGCCTCACATCCCTGTTTACGATATAATTGCCGATTTTCCAAGATCTTTATGGCAGGAGACCTTTGGTTACGCTCATCTCTTTCCAGAAAACTGGGAAGTAGGGGGAGTGTGAACTTCCTTGATGATTACAATTCAAAAGAAATGGATTCTAGGTCCTTGAAACATCCTTGATTTACATACTTTTCAGAAAGACAAAGACTAGTTATCTAAAGTGAATTCTGAAAGAATAGGGGAGGGGGGAAGGAAGCCTCTTTCCTTACTTTTAATCCACCCACTGCCATCAAGTGGGTTCTGACTCAAAGCGACCCTATAGGACAGACTAGAGCTGCCCCAAAGGGTTTCCTGTAAGGAAGATGGGGCAATCTACTTCCATAGTGATACTCCCTCGGAAACCCAATGAGGGGTCGCTATGAGTCTATGAGTCAGTCTGATTCCACAGCACTTAACAACAACAACAACAAATCTTTACAGAAGCAAACCGCCTCATCTCTCTCCCATGGAGCAGCTGGTGGGTTCCAACCACCGACTTTTGGGTTGGCAGCCAAATGCCTTACTTAGCCACTGTGCCGCCAGAGCTCCTTCATTTTCAAGAGGGAGAATGGAAACCTATTCAGTTTGCATTTTTCCTTATAGTTATAATGGACGTGTGTGTAGGAGTGAATTATACCCTTCTCTATTTAAAAATTAGTGGCTAAAGCATTGGGCTGCTAACCAAAAGGTCTGTGGTTGGTACCCACTGCTCTGCAGGAGAAAAAATGAAGCAGGCTGGTCTGCTTCCAAAAGATTTACAGCCTTGGAAACCCTATGGAACAGTTCTACTCGGTCCTATAGGGTCACTATGAGTCAAATCAACTCGATGGCAGCGAGTATTTAAAAAAGCAATACATTTTTTTATTGTTGTAAAAAAAATACATAACAATAAATTTTAGGATAAATCTTAATCCAAATTGATTTATTTTAAAATAATTGTAATCATCCAGTTGTCGTTAGGTGTCAGAGAGTTGATTCCAACTCATGAGGCAGAGTAGACTGGTTCATAGGGTTTTCTTGGCCAGATTTTTCTTCTGTGGAGCTGCTAGTAGGTTTGAACCACCAACCTTTGGGTTAGCAGCCAAGCGCTTAATGGTTGTGTCACTGGAGCTCCTTCTCCTTAATTGTCCAATAGGCAGGATTTAACCACAGGTAAGTGTTAAGCATCATTAGCATCATCCCCAAGGAGCTCTGGTGGCTCAGTACCTAAGGTATTTGACTCCTAACCAGAAGCTTGAGGGTTCGAACCCACCCTGAGGTAGGAAGATGGGGCAATCTACTTCCGTGAAGATTTACAGTCTTTGTTTGTTTGTTTGTTTGAGCGTCATCCCCACTCCACAGAGAATGAAGATGAGAGTGTCAGCCTGACAGAGTCACTTGCTGACCCAGACAGTAAATGACGAAACTGAGACTCCAACCCAGGTCTAGCCCACCCAGAGCCTGCCTGTTCTGGCCTGCTTCCCTTGCTGTGGCTTCTAAATTGTTCCCTGTGGCACCTCCAAGAAACATGAACTCCCGTTCTGGCGTTCTCAGCAGACACCGCTGCTACGACTATATACTGATCATGTAAATCTAGCTCTTCTCCAAGCCCCTGCTGAGCTGAGAAGCACCAGCCAGGCCCCAGGAATCATTTGCTGGCACCCAGTGAGAATGCGGTGGGAGAACTTTATGTCCTGGATACTGCCAGCAAATTCTTCCCACCAGACTGCTTGTTCAAGGCCATAGGAATGTCTTCATTTTCATTGTTTCCTTTCTTCCCTGCAGACAGGAGAGCCAGGCTGGATTCTCCAACTGGCTCCCTGCCGGGACAACAAATCAGGGCTTTAACCCAGGGCCAAGGCTGCTGGCAGAAAATAAGTGACACTAGAAACCCACTGAGAAGTAGCAGGAGGAGGTGAAT